ATGATTCTTCGCTGAGGAGGCAAGACTGAACTCGGCTGTTCCAGCAGTATAGCGGAAGGTGGCAGGAAGACGGAATGTCTCCGTTCCGTACTCAGGTAATGAGGGTTACATACGTAACCGAGACGTTCCCTTTTGTTGTTGCTCTCTTCCAGTGCCCTGCGTAAATCTGAGATCCCTGACGTTAGACTGGCACGAACGAAGGACTCATATTTAGCACAGGAATACCAGGGTACACTGGGGAGCCTATTCCATAGTTTAGAGGAAATATGCAATTACTGCCAACCCAGAAGGGGGGGACTTAAAAATACACATATGACCCGAAGGAAGCGTATGGAGAAACACTGGGGTGTCCAGCTGCAGGTGGAATATTTTAACCCCAGGGGTGGCAAAGTGGCTTGCCAAGGGAAAGGCACATGCTCATAGAGACTTACAGTGGAAATACACATGTGGGGGTCATCACCCAGAGCCTAGAGCCCAAGAGCTTGCCACACTCCGGGTGGAGTGGGCAGTCACTCCAAGGGGGCATGGACAACCTTGCTGCTGGTATGCCAAAGCAATGGCGTCCACTATCTTGCTTGGAGAGAGGCTTTCCCTTCAGCTTCCCACCATAACAAAGAGCTGGTCTAAGGTCCTGACACTGCATCCTGTCTACGTAGGCACGAAGAACGTGTACTAGACTGAGCAGTGCCAAGGCTGGGTCTGCCTCCTCTGGGGGCAGCACTTGCAGGTTCACCACCTGGTCCCAGAAGGGAGTGGTAGGAACCTTGGGCACATGTCAAGGCTGGGGTCTCAGGTTCACGTGAGAGTAGGCCGGCCCGAATTCCAGGCACGCTTCAACAACGGAGAATGCATCCAGGTCCCCTACCCTCTTGATGGAGGCCAATGCAACCAGGAGTTCCGTCTTCTTGACAGGAACTTAAGCTCCACTGATTGCAAAGGCACAAAGTCAGCACTCTGCATGGCAGTTAGAACCACTGAGAGGTCCTAAGAGGGAATGAGAGGAGGAGAGGAAGATTCAGTCTCCTTGCTCCTCTCAGGAAACTGACAATCAGGTCATGCTTCCCCACAGACTTACCTTCGATAGGGTCGTGGTGTGCGGCAATAGTGGCAACATAGACCTTCAGGGTGGAGGGAGACAGCCTTCACTCCAACCATCTTGAAGGAAGGTAAGCACGACACTGATCGAGCATCTCCGGGGGTCTTCTCGGTGAGAAAAGCACCAGTTGATGAAGAGGTTCCACTTCAATGCATAGACGTGTCTAGTGGACGACGCTCAAGCGGAAGTGATGGTAGCCACCACCGCTGATGGTAGGGTACTCAAACCTACCTCGTCCCGTCCAGGAGCCATATGTGGAGGTTCCAAGATCAGGATGAGGGTACCATAGGGTCCCTGTTAAAGGAGGTCCTTCCTCAGATGAAATGGCCAGGGAGATGCTGTCGCGAGTACAAGTTCGGAGAACCAGGCCCGGTTGGGCCAGTGTGGTGCAACCAGAATGACCTGCTCCTCATCCTCCCTGATCTTGCACAGGGTCAGTAAGAGAAGGCTCACTGGGGGAAATGCATAATTGTGCAGGCCCCGTGGCCAGCTGTGCGCCAGTGCATCCTTGCCAAGCGTGCCCTCGGACAGGGAGTAAAACTGGTCACAGTGGGACGAGTCCCACTCGTCCCGATCCCAAATCAGCTGCACTGACGGGGTATAGAGTCGCCATTCTCTAGGAAGAGGCTGAAGCCGTTAGAGCTCGTCACCTGCACAGTTCAGGACTCCCGTAACATGACAGGACTCCATAAGAGGTGGCGGGTAATTTGCGACATACGGCAGGAGTGTAGACCACCTTGTTGGAGATGTACTCTACAGTATTATCTGATCGGACTAGTACGTGCTGGTTCTTGACGTACTGCCAGCAACACAAGGCAATTTACATGCCATAGGCGCTGTGGTCCTTTCTAGGGGCCCGCGGCAGCATGTCCATTGCACATAGCGCTCCAGCCCGTGCCTGGACACTCCAGCCCGTAGAAACTGAGGTTCAACCACGGGGTGAAGGTCTAACGGCAAGTTGGAGTAACTGGTACTCGGAGCACGCCGTGTTGCCATGCCCACCTCAGCCAAAGCTGAAGCGGTCTCATATGAAGCAATCTGAGTGGCATTGCCATGGCTGCATCTTGAACAGCAGCTTGTGAGGCGAGTGGTCCAGATATGCAGGAACAGGATTGGTCATAACCCGCCGGCTTCTCCGGGACAATGAAGCATGGTCTGTGAAACCTGGACCTCATTTCGGAGCAGACTCCCCAGAAGCGGGGAGGAGACTGTGCGAACTGAATCGCAAACCGAGTCTGATGGCTCGTGCAACCCAGCGGGACAGGTTTGGAAGCTCAGAGAGGCTCCCAAAGACTGTGCAAGCAGGGTCACGTGAGCCACAGATGTGGTGCCATTTGGGACGGGGCCATTATAGACCTTTTAACAGAGCTTCTCTTCTTTCTCATGCCCCCTGCTGGATCCCTAATAGTGTTGCAAAATCCACCTAGCTATACTAACAATGATAGGTTATGGGCACATCTTTAGAGTCCATTCAGTCCTTGCACGTACTATCCCGAAATCTCTCTGTGCCGTGCGGGTCTGTGGAGCTCTCAGAGGAACAAGCCTCCTGGCTCGTCTCTGTGGCATGGGCAGAAAAACGGCTCTGTCCCGATCCCACCCTATAATCAGTGCTTTTAACAGCTCTCATTTTCTGCTGTATATATAACTGTAATTGTCAGGCAATACTCCCATAGCAATGCATATGTTCGGCAGTAAATTTCAGAGCAATACTGTGAGGAACCAGACAAATTTCCTCAAACACACACACACACACACACACACACAGTATAACACAAAAGCTACAGAATAGCTAAATAATGTCAGCTGAGTATGTTTGCGGAGGAAAATCATAGAAAGCCAACATTTTTTTTATATATATATAAAATAAGAATGAGTATGTGTAATTCACAAAGAGAATTATGTGTTTTATGTCAAACATATGAATAAAGAAGAAAGCCAGAACACGACACTTTTCTGCATTAATATTACCTGATGTATATGTATATATATATATATTTTTTTGTTTTGTTTTTTTCATTAATATGATGTGGTTTGAAGACTGAAAAAATGGTTTCAGAAGAAGTGAGTGGTTACTTTATGTCATAATTTGATCAAATGAAATGGTAAAAATGATTGCTATCTCTGAATATTTCCAAAGTATAAATATTTTCAAAAATAGTGGCAGATTCATTTATTAGCTTTTCCTGACGTACTTTTATAATGATTCAGTTCAGATTTGATAAAATAACTTGGGCTTCATAAACTAGTCTGAAACTGAATGTATAACAGTTCGTAACATATTCTTGACTTCAGCTGCACTGGTTTTATTGCTTTCCTCTTCGATACAACAGTTTCTTCCCAGTGAACATAACAAAGCCATACACAAATGACTGAAGAACTGCCATACGCTCTCATAAAAGTGTCACACATCTGTTGATCAAATATAATGTGTCACCTATACTTGTGCCAAGTGCAGAATGGACAAATGCATTGATATGAGGGCTGAACTGTGGGATGTCTTGTGAGTGTTCAGTGCTTTCAGTTAGACAGACATGAGACATGCTGAATGTGCGCAATGTCCAAAAGTGGCAGTTGCGACTTTGGATAAGCATTTTCCATAACTCTTGCAGGAACTAGGTGACCCATACAGGAAAAATTTAGTGTATGACAATGAATGAAAAGTTACCATTTTCAGGCCACCAAAACACTGCTGTGAATGGCCAAAATGAATTTTCAGCATCATTACTTCAGTTTCCAGGGTCACAAGATCCTTCAGAAAATCATTCTAATGCTGATTTGATGCTTAAGATAAATGTGTTATCAATGTTGAAAACCATTTCGCTTTTAAAAAACGGAGATATATTTAAGGATTCTTTAACGAAGAGGAAGTTTGTTTGAAATAGATATCTTTTGTAACATTATGAATGTCTTTAAAAACAATAGTTCCCCCCAAAATAAAAATTATCCCATGATTTACTCACCCTGAAGCCATCCTAGGTGTATGTGACATTCTTCTTTCAGATGAATATAATAGTTATATAAAACAATGTCCTGGCTCTGCCAATTTTCTTATTCACTGCCTGAAGCTAGTTATTTTAGTCGGTAAAGTTTTAAACACATTTTTCTTACACAAACGCATCTCTTCACTTCAGAAGGCCTTTATTAACCCCCCAGAGCCGCGTGGAATACTTTTATCATGAATGAATGCACTTTAATTAACTTATTTAAGGCTACACTGTGTGATTTTTACCCCCATCTAGTGGTGAAAAGTTATATGACCATCCAGTGAATATTAGTTTCTGTTCCTCTCAATTCCGATTTCGTTTTAACTCCTACGGTGGCCAATGTAGTCCAAGATTAACATGGCTTCCAGTTCGACCTCGTCCATGAGTGTTAACTCAAATGTAAACGCGAAAGGCGAAGCTTGAATTAACGGGTATGTCCCTCTTTGGCTAATGTACTTTCAAGATGGAGGTGCAACATGGCGACCGACATTAGAACCCCTTACCCGTATGTATTTTCAATGACATATTATACACTCATGATAATACTTTATTACTTGAACAAAGTAAATACATTAATAACCACATATATTTTTGAAAGAACTAAGTGTAGCTTTAAAAAATATACAGCTATTTACTCCCATTACAAAGCTTGGTAGAGCCAGGACATTTTTGTACATATAAATTTGTATCTGTCTGTAAGAAGAATGTAATATACACCTAGGATGGCTTCAGGGTGAGTAACTCATGGCCTAATTAAAATTTTGGGAGAACTATCCCTTTAATGTCACTTTTGATCAACTTAAAGGAGAACTCTGGTCAATTTTGCTGTCAGTACAGACACAAACGACAAAAATCAGTGTTGCCTACACCATGTTATCGTCTTTTTAAAATTCGCATTTGATTTGAAAACAAAAACAGTCTTTCACAAACACACATTTATTGATAATGGATTCCCTGTGCAATGGATCACGGTACACAGTGAGCAGAAACACAGAGTATAGGTAGCTAAATGAGACCTGATACGCCATATTTATTCACATTTGAGATCAGTTGTTTGCATTGACCACTCATCACAGAACAGTAACAAGAGTTTTACATCACGTTTGGAGTTTCTGGAATGATTTTGGTATTACTTTTCCCAATTTATTTGTGTCATGGCTGTCCAAAGTGATCTTAAATCATTTTGAACACACATATTTCATCCCTGAGGGTATTGCAAATTACAATAAGAGCTTAAACTCTCAACTACTCCATGAAAAACTCCCAGAAAAAGTGCACAATTAGCACCAGCAGATAATATATATATATATATATATATATATAAAGGTTTGCTGTGAATTATGGACTGAACTCAATTTATGCACAAATAATATTAAGATCATATGGTAACATGCAAATCATAAATACAGGTATAGATGAAATAACAGTTAAAGAGTAACATGATGAACGTAAAGGTACACAGAATAAGTCATATTTATGATTTTACAAAAACAGTATTTCGTGAAAAAGAAAAGTACAAAGTTGGCACAGATGATTCACTTAAGAAAAATCACTTGTGTGTTCATGAAATCAACCATTATGGATTATACTTTAAGACAAATAACATTGACAGTAGGAACAAATTACATATCAGTTAATTACATGCACAATAGCCATTGTTTAACAGCGTCTTGTACTGTGCAAATAATTACAAACATAAAGACTGATACAGTACAGCTAAAAAAAAATAAAAATACTTTTTAGATGTATAGACTAAAAATGTCATATTCTGGCCCATAAAATTATTCAAGCTAGATTTGAACTCATCAATAAATGCTGTAGTGAGCTTGTGGCATTGTGACAACATACACCTTTCTATTCATAGATGTTAAAAAAGCTTCAAGTACACGCTACGCTAAGAAAACGCGTTCCATTCATCCACAAATCAAAGCTTTAAATGACTATTAAAGCAGTCAACCGTTTAGCAAGCCTTTATTAATACTATGAATTGTCAAACTAATAACACTCTCATCCAGAAATTTTGTTTTTAACAATGCATTAAATAAATTAATCTTTAGCATATACAACATCCTTTATTATCTTTAAGGATTTAGAGTCACTGAAAAATAATGAAAAAAAAAATCTATAAAAAAATTAAAAGAAGGTATATAATATCTAATTTGATAATAAAACAACAAACAAACAAACAAAGAGATGTGTGTTGAAATATGGTAGTGAAGGACCCATTTCTGCCAGAATACTGACGGTTCATCAATAAAGTGCTTAACTCAAACAGAAGAATTGAAGTTATAGGCTAAAACTATAAAAGTCATGAAGATATAAAACTCATTAAATGGTCAGAAAAAGTGAACACAATGCATTTAGATGTCATATAAAATCATTATGCTAAATGTAATGGGGGTAAATGGGATGAAAAATTAAAATTATACAGATGCATTTATTCTAGAACAACATATTTTTTATTCTATAATTATTCTAAAATGTCAGTAAATAAATATGTGTACATGTAGACAACAATAAAAAAAGTTATTTTCTAATAGTCTTATGGTCCCAAGAACTACACATTTTGCATGTTTTATTTTAAACTCGCAACAATTGCAACTTAGTCTCTTTAAAGCAATGTCCAAGTTCAATGGATACTAACTAAATCATCAGTTCACCCAAAAATACAAATTCTGACTTTATTTATTATTGGATACTACTTTTTTTGAGAATAAAGAAAGTGGGAAAAGACAAATACAAAAGACTAAGACAAATTATGACAGAATTTTCATTTTAGGGTGAACTGATCCTAAAGTTCCATTCTTTTGATTGATTTTCAAACATCTGCTAGACTAAATTCAATTCCACAGAGAAAACCATTTAAAGGGGTCATGATAAGAGAAATCAAATCTTTTGAGATATAAGAGGTCTTGTTATCATTAAAAAGTCCTGCAAGTTTCATAGTTAAAAAAACAAAGCATTTATTTAATCAAGGCTCATTTGGATACTGTGGGATTTGTTGCATCACACAAGAAAATAAATTTTCATATGCCTGACTCCAGGGGAAGACATTGATATGGTTATACATCATCACACCATAGGACTCAGCCACTGGCGTTCAGTCGCTTAGTGGCTATATGTTTGTCCGATGCATTTTGTTTAGTAAACAAGGCACAATGTAATGGATCATTCGCAAAGATGAAGCGGACAACGTTTTTGAAATTGACAGCAGCTGCGCAAACCGTAAGTAAAAGATTTCATAATGCTTTTTATCTGTAAATTACGGTTTTATGTGGATAAGTTTTCAAAACACTTCCTTGCATGTCATAGCGAGTAGACGTTGATACTGTTTCCTATGCAATGACATTAGCCAATCATGACAGTGGCCATTTACTGACAAACCTTAAAGGAGCCGCCCCTTAACAACTGATCACTTCAGACATGGGTCTGAATAAAGGTGGTAAAATAATTGTTTTCTTGTATATATATTTGTTTTTGTGTGTAAACTGTATTAACATTATTAGTGAACCTCAAGATAAACAATAAAAATAATGCATGTCATGACCCCTTTAAAATGTAGCAGATCTCTGCCACTGTGGTGCTACTGGTAGACTGTTCTGAGATCAGTTGACAAGATGTCTTTGTCTTCCACTCAGTTTATTGTCCAGAAAGGCACGTCTCCAGGACTAAATCCCCTCCTCTCACCTATAGGCTCAGATGAAGTTATTGCTGATCTGACGCTGATGTTCAAATAAATCCTCGATTTCAGCGCTGTAGGCATCGCCTGTGAAAGAAGAGTGCATCAGACAGGGAATTTAAGGCACTAGTGCAAGCATGTTGTGAATCATTCATTGATATGGGGATCATACCTGCATGGCAGCCGTACATAAACACTCTGTGTCCATCATATTTACATCGACAACGCATGACGTTGTTCATGAAGTCTGATTCAGCCATATCCAGGGACGGATTTACCTCAACCTGACAAAACACACACAAGAATGAATAGAACCATTCAGTAATTATGTCAATTTGTAGGCCAACCCAGCAGGACAATTTACCATGGGTTCTCTTTGGATTTTTTTTTTTTTTTTTTTTAAGCAGTTTATGGTCTTGTACTTTTTGTACTTATAGACTCCAGGTATGCAGTTCTGGAAAATGGTGGCACTGGAGACTTAATGGTTAATATCTTTCAAATTAATACAGTATATTTTCTTCTCAACCTGTTTTTCACTGTAAAAAAAAAGTTAAAAAAAACTTAAAAGTTTAAGTCAACCAGCTGCAGGACATCTTTGAGTTCTCAACTTGGGGTCATTAGTTGTACACACTTTTTCATGTTAAATAGTTGATTAAACTTTAAAACCGAATTTTTCAAACAAAATGTTGGATTTTTTACAGTGTTGGTGACCCTGCTGCCCCAATGAGGATTTCTTTCCAACGGACACCCAAAAATAAAAATGTTATTTATTCTATTTAAAAATATTTATTCTTTTGAACACAAAAGAAGATATTTTAAAGAATGTTAGTAACCAGACAAATGACTTAGTATTGTTTTCCTAGTCAATGGCTTCTGTCAAATGTTTAATTGCAAACATGCTTTAAAATATCTTCTTTTGTGTTCAACCGAAAAAAGAAATTCAAACAGGGTTGGAACAACTTGAGGGTAATTGATGAAAAAATTTTCATTTTGGGGTGAACTATTCCTTTAATTTTGCAATTTCTACAGAATCCTTCCCATGGGCATTTAATCATTTTGACTTTTCTGTTCATTCTCCTTTTTGGCACATTTTGGCACACTGCTCAATAATTATTCACATATGAATGTAAGGTGTTTTACACTTACAGCCCTCGCTAACAATAAAATATCACTTATAAATGATTTTATACAAAAAAAAAAAGTAGTTATTGGGTTTGGAAATGGTCAAATGTGCTTGGGGAAAAAATGTGATAAAAATATCGACTTATCTAATAATTATATAATAAATTAAATATGTGTATTAGAACTGTATTAAATATAGATTTATTTATTTATTTATTTTTGTATTTTTTTTACAATGCCAGCCTGAAATAATACTATTTTTATAATTTCATTATGGCATTGTAAAAATTTCAAAGTTGCAGACATGCAGAAGAACCAATAAGGACATGGAACTTGTAAGAAAATGTTATGCAAACAGATCGCTCATCAAACCACTTTACAAATTGGCTCCACCAAACCAGACTCACAAATTACAGTTATAAAATCACAATATAATAATTTAATAGTCCAACAAGATGCTGTACGCAGGGTATGAAGTCAAAAGAGCATGTTTGAGCAATAGTACGCTATACATTGAATGTGATTATGCCTACTAGGCTTGAGAACTTTTTAAACGCTGATACAACAGTACTTTTATTTTCAACACTGTTGAAATACTATTCCTAGTAGCCAAAGGGTAATTATTCTGTGAACACATTCAAGTCTCACTTATCTTTTCTTTCTTTTTTTTCTTTTTTCTTTTTTTTTTTGCACTTTTATTAAAAGTGTGCAACTTTAACTCTGGACTGTAGAGATATGGGTCTGTCTGAGCATATGCTTGAGTGAGAAAGTGCCTGTAAAACTGACGGGAGTAAATGACTCTGAACTTAATTGACCATGTCTAATAGAGGGGGATATAGCCTGCTTTTCTCCTCCAGCAGGGAAAGCTTAGCATTGGGTTATTTTTGGTGTAGAATTAAAGACAAGTAACTCAAGGAAAGAGCAACAAGTTTGTCTGGTTCATGAAGTATAGATGCTTCTTTTACACAGCGTCTTTGCTCAGACAGGGTTGGCATGGGGTAGCTGGCATCATTCTACATGGAGATGGTAACTGACCTTTTGACTATCACCACTGCTCCTTGCTGTGCCATATATAGCAGCAGCCCGATGCCGGTTTGTAATTAGCATCTGCCAAACGTGCTTAAAATACATGTAAATCTATCATGGCGACAGTTCGAGCAAATAAATCTTCAAAAAGGTCAGAGAACCCGAAGGTACACTGTAATTAAAACAAAGCTTCACATCAACCTATGTTTTACAACTGGGATGTATAAAAGGCCTCTTGATTGGCCCCTAAAGCTGCTCTTTGATTGGCTGGTTATGCGTGTGAAGCTCAGCTGCGGAAGTGCCCACAGTGATTTGGGATGATTAACATGTTTCCAAAGTTAATGACAGAGGAAAAAGTAGAAAAACTGCATCCTGAAAAGAGAATCTACTCTTGAAAGAATAGTGAAAAATGTGTTGCGCGTGACTGCCCTCTTCCACCGTTCAGATGTTCTGAATCATTTCACCTGCATGATGTAGTCTCCAGGTCTCACGTCGGTGATGTCTATCCACTGGCAGTCGATGTCGTGGCGGTACGTGTCCCAGCAACCCACTGAAATGCCTTGATCTCCATAATTGTAACATGAAAAGCGTTTGTGAAGTCCTGGAGATAAACACAAAAACTGTTTTGTTTGCTCTCGTAAACCAATTAGTATCCGCTTTAATGTAACTACTCTTTTACCCTCAGGACAGAAGGTGTCTTCTAGACAGAAACTGGCTTTGTGTCCTTCAGCCACTCTGCTTCCGTTGAGTGTGAGGAGATCATAATGTGTGAACACTTCAATGCTGTGATAATGCCTGAAAAAAATTTAAAAAATAATGTAAGTACAAGCAGCATTGTATAATAAGTGATTGCCAAGGCAAGAATCTCTATTACCATTGCCCATACTGTACATACCTTCACTGCTCATGCTAACCACATAAAAGATCATTGAAATCATGCAAATTGTTCGCGGACGATACTGAGAATGCATCGAATGCAGAAATGAGAGAATCGAACCGTTAGAAATCCCAGGAGAGGTTGCGGGAGGAATCCTGTAAACTTTAAACTTCTTGTATTGACTGTACGATTTCGTCAATCATATAAGATCATTACAAATCACACTGTACAAAATGGATCTAATAAACTTTGTACAACATGTATGTAGATTGTATGATGATTGACCTAATGAATCAGCGCAGTCTCATCCCAAGACGTCATATAACCGACGTCTTGGGACGTCTTTTGACCATACATCAACATCCGCCGTTTTAGAGTACCCTTTAACGTCGGTTAGATGACGTTATCGGATCCTAACCCTACCCCAGACCTAAACCTACCCCGTCACCTAATTGACGTTAAAGGTAAAGCGTCAGTTGTATGACGTCCCAGGATCGTCATGTAACCGACATTAAAGGGTACCCTAAAACGGCGGCTGTTGACGTATGGTCAAAAGACGTCCCAAGGCGTCAATTAAATTACGTCTTGGGATGAGACTGTGTTAATTGAATCGTAGGCTATGTAGGCTATATAAGTTAATACATAATTGTTTGGGGGGGTTTTCATGGTAATCTTAAATCGAAATCTGAAAATTTGCTTCCGCTCTGGAATAGGCGTTGCAAATATTGGCGCAGAGTGAACAGACTTTCCTTGAAAAAGACTTTGATATCGCTTACCCACAACACCCTAGAAAAAATGGCGGGAATTTTCCCAGACTCTATTCCAGAATATGTAAAAATGTAGTTGACTTATATTTCATGCTGGCTCGTGAACATGGGCAGAACAAAGGTTCACTATGGACCACTGTCTAATGACCTCACTGCTCCATGAAGGTGTTGGCTGCTACGGTAACACCCTTTACAGGAAGTTGTTGTTATGCTGACAGAGTTACGGTTGCGGAGTTGTTTATTCAGCTCGTCTGAATAGACTGCTTTCAAATGCCAACTTCTCTGGTGTTTTTAAAAGATTAATAAAACAGGCTTGGCCTGCGAACACGCAAAGCCCACAACTCCTCCACAACAGAGTGCCTTGTTCCCACAGAATGGGTTTGCAATTATTTTCAGAACACATGTAAAGGGAGTGGAGGTGCTCAAAGCAACTAATTAATCTGAAAGATGATGGCAAGCTTTCTGACCACCCTTGACCGGTTTTATAAACAGGAGTGTATGTTCATTGCACATTGAAATAACTGTGTGAACTCAACTGAAATGAAATGTACCCACAAATACTCTTCTAGAATAAAAGATTGTCATACGTGAGGGTTATTCCTACATTATTTCGTTTAATGTGCTGTCAGCATTATTTTAGTATTTATTGTCCCAGGTGTGGAGGATGCAGAAGACTACCATGATATAATCAATGTACTGGGAATGTACACCAAAAACTGTGTTTGACTACACCACATGTCTGGATGAATATATGCTGCACTTATAAGACTTTACATTGCCATGAAAAAGAGTAAGGAAAACAAATTTCATTTAAAATTGAATTTACCAACCGCAGCTGGTATCATGTATCTTTTATGTGGAAAATGAGTATTGGAAGCATTTCAGATATTTCAGTATCGATATGTATAAATCTATATTTTTGAAAACACTACATTGTACTTGGTTTCTTATTTCAGATACCTATTTAAAAGACTACAGTTAAAAATATATATATAATATATGAAATTCAACGCACCAAAGTGGCTAGTAGAAGTGACTGTGTTACACACCGCTGTTGAAATGTTATAGTCATGATCAGGATGAAATATAAAATGCATATAAAAATCAATTTAAACGGACACTCCACCCATTTGCATTAAGATTTCCATTGTTAGAAATCCAGTCATACTATGAATGGTCGTTCAACACTTTCTCATTTTCCCCTGAGACGAGAGAAATCCGCTATTTGCTTTTTTTTACTTCCTCCTACAATGATGCAAAATATCGTCATTTTACGCCAATGTAGGAGGAAGTGTAAGGGAGGGGACTTCTGTAAAGACTACAAGCACTAGTTCACCCTTTCAAACCCACCCATAGGGGGTTGGACCTAATGCACTAACAGACCTATCACAGATCAGTGCCAGTGTGTCTGATTTCACCGGCAGAAACTTTTTGAAAATATGGACAAAGGTACTGAATACGCAGACGGATGCATTATATGGCGCTTTTCCACTGCATAGTACGGTACGGTTCGGCTCAGTACGCTTCGACTCGGCGCGGAACAGTTCGGATCGCTTTTCGTTTCCACTGCAGTAGTACCCCTTCAAAGTGTGTGGGACTGATCGTTATTTGCGCGCGCCTCTACTGCCATGACATCATCTTAAAAGCGCCACATTTTCAAACCCACAACACAGGAACAATGGAGACTATCGAGGGGATGGTGTTCCTGATTCTCGGTATGTGGTTGTTTTTAACTGCTAGACGGAAAAATGTGTTTAAAATGAGGCTGATGGCAGCAAAACAAAAATACTGCTAAAAAAGTGTCTCGTGTCTCGTGTCGCAAATCCAATGACGCTGGTAGTGACGCTGGTAGTGACGATTCTGTCTGACCAATCAGTGATCTGCAGTGTTTCACGTCACATTTTAGTACCGGTACGGTACGCTTGGAACCTCAACAGACCAGGTACCATTTAAAGCGACCTGAAGCGAACCGTACTGTACCGTACCATGCAGTGGAAAAGCACCACAAGTGAGACGTACCGAACCGTACCGTACTATGCAGTGGAAAAGCGCCTATAGATAGGGTGGGGTACCGAAACACGGTGCCAATAGGGAACCGGTTCCAACGTAAACGGTAATAACCAGACCAAATATGAACGAAAATTTCAGTGTCTGAGTCTCTGTGTCATGAGGCGCACACACGCGAAGCATAGCTGTCAACTCTCCCGTTTTTTTTTCCGGGTTCCTCACATATTTTAGCTTTTTTCCCGCTGTCTTCCCCTTTCAGTATTTTCCCGTAAAATATCTCGTATTTTTACGGTCTGACTGTGTGAGATGTACAAGCTCAGACAGATTCGGTTTGAAGTCGTTCATCCTCAGACGCAACACCGCCCACGCTGTCACAAAAAAACAAAGGTGTACACAGCCATGCGAATACATCACACATACAGGGGTTGGACAATGAAACTGGAACACTGGCCAATGTTGGAGGTTTCACATCTATATGCCTGGCGGCCAATCTTCAGAGTGAAGCACGGGTGGATCAGTGATGGTTTGAGCTCCAATATCATGACAATCCTGATTGTATTTGATGGACACGACACTGCCGAGGACTACCAAACCCTTCTGGAGGATCATGAGCACCTGATGCTCAAACCGTGTATCAGCATGATCATGCACCAACACACACAGCAAGACTTGTGACAGAAGGGTTTGATGAAGATGAAAGTGACGTTGAACATCCACAGTCACCAGATCTGAATATTATTGAGGTGTTTTGGAGGAGCGAGTCCACCAGCATCATATAGTGACCTGGACACTGTTCTGGAAGAGGAACGGCTCATAATCCCTCTGGTCACTGTGAAGGACTTCTATCTGTCAATTGGTGCTGTATTTGGATGCAAAATGAGGCCCTCACCATTCTAACAAATTATTGTGTAGTAAAACCAGGTGTTTCAGTTTTTTTGTCCAACCCCTGTATGTAGGCTAGTAATAAACTCTTTAGACTTTTAATGGTTAGCGCTTTATTTTTAAATTTTGAGGGTAAGAATAATGTAAAATAAAATAAAAATGCCTTATTTGGGGGATGGAATCCGGGAAATCTCCCTTATTATCAATGTTCAATGTTGACAGCTTTGACCCAAAGTCTCTCGCTCTCTCCCTCTCCCTCGTGCGCGCACTATATGGTTTGGAGCACAGTCTGATCTGTCTCGCATGCGCGCTCTTGCTCACTCGCTCTGGGTAAAGGGAGATGTTTACTAATTTGCGGGCATCAGGGAGCCGTTATCAATATACAGGAGACTCCCGGAATGTCTGATAGCGAGGGGATTAAAGGGTAACTAAACACCAAAACAACTTTTTTTAGTTAATGATCTGTAAGAATGGAGCTTCATAAATGCTGTTCATTGATTCGAGTACATTTTTTGACAATTGAGTATAAAGTGTTTTGATTTTCAAATATATGGTGTAAAAACGTCTGAGTGCTGCCCTCTTCAGGTTAAACGGAAAGCTCCTGCAGTAGGGGTACTTGCTGACGTAGCGAACTCTCAGACGCACTCTGTCACACCCTTGGTGCGAGCTCACCACGCCCTTGGCAGCCCCTGGTATAAAAGCATCTGGTTCCGTCAAAACTACTGTAGCGAGTCAGGAGTTGGATTTATGAATATTGAAAACGATCAGGATACTATAGCATATAATAGCATCTAGTTAGCATAGCATTTATATAGTTATTTAGATTATTTTTGAAAACGACCAGGATAGAGTATTGTTGCATCTATTTAGCATAGCATTATATAGATAATTTAGATTATTTTGTGTAGCTAGTAGCATAGTACAGTTAGGATAGCTTCAAGTTAGCATAGATTTATCAGTGTTTAGTACAGTGATCAGGATAGTAACGGAATAGAGGTGGACATGGGCTTCTCCACACGCAGTGCCAAACACTGCTCGTCCTGCATGGACTCCTCCACCGCAGCGGCGTCTTGATGTGAGTGATCATGGATATTTTAATCACAATTTATGGTTAGGATTAGGGTTGCAACGGTATGAGATTTTCACGGTATGATAATCGTCTCAGAAAATATCACGGTTTCACGGTATATGATATTAAAACTATCATTATTATAATCAGCATCAGCTACAATGGCCCTTAAATGAATAAAAACAGATATTGT